TGCACACTGTGCCACCCATTGGGGTCCCCAATTCATATTAATACATTAAAGACCCTGAGAAGGCCTGTTTAGATTTATGTGACCTAGTGTTTCCCAAATCTGTATGCTCATGCATCCTCAAATCCATTCCCATGCCATGGGACTAGGGTTCCTCAGGGGACAGTTTGGGAAGTGTAGACTAGATAGTGTGCCTGGGTCCAGGTGGGACAAGGTCTGCAGGTTGAAGTGTCTTCCTTCACTTCCCTGCACTGACCATTTGACAAAGGCAGAAGGTTCAACCTCAGCCACCACTACCAATAGCTCATGACAGAGACAGATAATGAACATGGCATCAGACAGCTTCCAAATGCAGCACGAAGGAGAGAGAAAGTAACAGGGTGGGCCAGAGACCTGAGTGAGTTCCAGCTGTGATTTTGTGCTCACTGCTGGCCATTGGGCGGCGGACCCCATCCTGCTAAGCTTTGCATTCATCATCTGCAAAATGGGGATAATGCTATTCTCAGGGCTGTTGTGAAGATTCAGCGTGGTAATGCCAGCAGAGGCAGATTATAAACTGTCAAGTCCTGTGCCAGCATTTGCTATGTGCATCATTATTTCACTGCATACATGGCCAGGAGGGTGTGGTAATGTCTTGATTGATCACAAGCCACTGCAGAGGTCCTCAATCAGGACAGATGGATGGATGGATACATGGATGCATGGAAGAATGGACAGACAGAATCCCCAGTGTGACCCAGGCTTACCAATGGCTAGCTGGTTGAATAGGTATGAATGACTACATGAACCAATTCTAATAAGGTCAACTGTTCCACTTCTTAGTCCCCAACTGGTAGAAGCAGCAAATTGGGAAGGACACACACATACACACACACACACACACACACACACACACACACACACACGCATGAGGGGAGAGGAAAGAGACGCAGCACTCTGGAGGCAAGTCTGTGGGCAGCAGAATAAAGGAACCGACAGGGTGGGAAGAGCCAGAAACCAGAGTTGAACACGTGCAGCAGCCCACAGTCATCTGGCACAGGGGTCAAGCCGTGTTGGCATTCTCAGCAAGGCAGTTGGGGTTCCTAAGGCCTGTCCCTCGAGCCATCCATGTTGCCATTGTTCAGGGGAAGAAAGTGATCAATCTCTTTCGCAAAGGTTTCCAACCAAAACTGTTAAGAGTTGTTCTTAATGGGATAGAGAGCACAAAGAAATCTTTAGGGCTGGTTGTGCTGCCTCACGCCTGTAATCCCAGCACTTTGGGAGGCCAAGGCGGGTGGATCACCTGAGGTCAGGAGTTCGAGACCAGCCTGACCAACATGGTGAAACCCTGTCTCTACTAAAAATACAAAATTAGCCGGGCATGGTGGTGGGCATCTGTAATCCCAGCTATGTGGGAGGCTGAGGCAGGAGAATCACTTGAACCTGGGAGGCAGAGGTTGCAGCCTGGGCAACAAGAGCAAAACTCTGTCTCAAAAAGGAAGGAAGGAAGGAAGGAAGGAAGGGAGGGAGGGAGGGAGGGAGGAAGGAAGGAAGGAAGTCTTTAAGGCAAGACACAGGTCTTAGCTGCTGCTTCTGGAAAAATGTTTCTTACAGTTTATATGAATTCATCAACACATGTAAGCACAGGACATACTGTGTACCAGGCAAGTGCTGTTGGGCACTGGGGACACAACGCCACATCCAGACAGCATCACATATGGAAGGTTCTGGATAAATGAGGTATTGGGTCACTTGAGGATAGAGAGGGAGGTTTTGTAGAAAAAAAAATTCACAGATAAGAAGTCTGGAGGACTGATTTAAATCATTACATGACCTCAGACAAGTCACCTTCCTTCTCTGAGCCTCCATCTTCCCATCTATAAAGTGGGTATGATAAAAATCATGAAAAGTATTACATGGCACTAGACACTAACCCAGCAGTTACAGATGTTCTCTTAATGCACACAGTCAGCAAGGCAGGTGTTGCTAACAATTTGTTGTGGGGTAAATTGTCCCTTTCACAAACTGAGACCAACTTGCCTGAGGTCAGAGAGTTGATGGGAGTCAGGGTGTAAGCTCTGGTGTGTCTGATTCCAGAGCCCACACTCTCCCACCCTCCCAAACAAGACCCACGCTTCCTTCTCACAGACTGCTGTGAGGATGCAATAGATGTCAGAGTGCTTCATAAAGTTAAACTGTTATGTGTCCAAAGGCAACAAGTAGTCAGTCTTGACTCTCCGTGAAACTAAACACTGAAGTTCACAGGGGCACTCAGAACTGGCCACAGCCTAGAACTCCTGGGCTCCTCACTCTCAACCTCTGGCATTCCTAGGCTAACTTCCTCCCAGGGAAAGAGATCCGGCAATCCCAGGAGCCCCAGATGACCCCTCAAGGCCCACAGAGCAGGGTTCCCCTGGAACCCATGGGGCCCCCTCCTAGACCAGGAGACCACCTGGCTAGTAGTCTCCTGACTCTCCTGTGCTCCACTCCTGCCAAGGACCTAGAGGGCACGGCCTGGCCCAGGTGCCATGGGAGCTGCCCCAGGGACCCTCACCACTCCCCACCGACAGGCTGTGGGACCTCAGGCCAGTCACCTCACCCCTCTGAGCCTGAGGTTTCTCACCTGCAAAATGAGGGATGAAAGTGGGTCTCATGTGGGAAAGGATCCACTCCAAGGAGAGACTCAAACATGACTGCCCTTGAGCTGGGTGAGTTCAGCTGAGTGGCAGGAAGGGGAGCACCAGGCTCTCAAAATCCCTGTTTTGGAGGGAGGCACAACCCTACCTACCAGGAATCACCTATCTAACCTTGAATTCTCAGCCTGCCCTTGGCAGTCCTGGTCTGAGAGGTGGACTCAGCTGTTACCACTGCCAGCCACCAGCAGGACCCTATTTGCTGTCTTCCCAGGTTGGCTAGGGTCCCAGCAGGGGAGAGGCAGGAGAAGGGACTTCAGTCAGAACTACATATGTCTTCACTGGAGGGACCTGGGCCCCAGAGCACAGACATTCTTGCAGGCCCACGGTGGCCCGAAATGGTTGCTAACTGGCCTCGGGCCACACAGTGAGACAGAGGTGCCAGGACCCAGGCTCTGGCCCAGCCCAGGGCTCTCTGCACTGGCCCAAAGTCACCCCTTTTGGAGCATGGATGAAGCACAGAGAGGAAGAACAGTGTGAAGAGTTAGGATGATGCACCCCCTACCCTGCCCTGGTCAAGAGGCTCTGGCCACTGACGGCTGGGCCCACAAGCCCCAAGGTGAAAATCAACACCTGGTCACCCAATTCCCTGCTTCACTCACTGCAGGCACTGACAGGGCACATCTGGATGGAGGAGGGGCTCAGTCTGCCTCTGCAGAGTCCCCAGCAAGAGGAAGAAGGCTCCAATAGCAGCAAAATGGACTTCAATTAGTCTCAAGAAAGAACTTCCTGCAGAGGCATTAAGCATGAACACAGAGAAGGGGGGCACGATGAGGGCAACTGTAACATCTCCTCTGAAATACAGGATGCTGTCTCATTCATTATGTCATTTTACTTTCTTTTTTTCTTTTTTTTTTGAGACGGAGTCTCGCTCTGTCGCCCAGGCTGGAGTGCAGTGGTCTCGGCTCACTGCAAGCTCCGCCTCCCGGGTTCACGCCATTCTCCTGCCTCAGCCTCCCGAGTAGCTGGGACCACAGGCGCCCGCCACCTCGCCCGGCTAGTTTTTTGTATTTTTTAGTAGAGACGGGGTTTCACCATGTTAGCCAGGATGGTCTCAATCTCCTGACCTCGTGATCCGCCCGTCTCGGCCTCCCAAAGTGCTGGAATTACAGGCTTGAGCCACTGCGCCCGGCCGTCATTTTACTTTCAAACCAGCCTGGAAGGTAAGTGTTGCTGCTCTAATTTTGTAAGTGAGCAACTGAGGCTCAGAGAGGCTAAGTTACTTGCCCATGTCTTCTAAGTTCCACTCAAGAGAGGCAGAGCCAGGATTTAAAGCCAGAACTCTGACTCTGAGGCCCACATACCTCCCTTCTCAGGAAGTCTCTAAGGATCCAGGTGTTACCACGCCTGCCATGGGCATCTCACTGTGCCACCTCAGATGCCCAGGTGTAAGCTAGGAGATGCCAGAGGCGTTCCTTTCAGGAAGGAGAGCGAGTGCTCACTGGTGGCCAGCTGTAAAAGGCTCTGTGTCCTAGGACTGCCAGCTGTGCCTCTGCAGACAACACCCCGTGGGGGCCTCCCACGTGGTTTCCGTGCAAAGTGCCATATCTTCTGTCCTTTCCCTGACCATGCCTCCTCTTGGGCAAGGATTAGTCTCTGGCACCATTATGCCTCCTGCTCCCTACTTGGCAGGAACCCCAACCCCCACCCAACTCTACACCCAGACTCCCCATCACAGGGCCCGGCAGCATTTGGTGGCACTTGCTGCATGGCCTGTCCCAGGCCTGTTCAGCCCCACACTCCACTTACCTGACATTCACAGGCTCCTGGGAGACCCTCTGAACTCAGAGTGGTGTGGTTCATGGCACCCGGGACATGGGCAACATGTTCTGGGTTCAGGACTATCCCCAGAACTGTGGCAATAACTACCCAGCTCTAAGGAAGGTGTATAAAGTGGCCACATCGGGGCCAGCTCCAGGCTGAGCGAGTTGCAGCAGGGCTGGGGCTGCTGCTCTGTACACCTGAGCTTGCCTGACACTAGCCTACCTGTGACTTCTGCTCCACTCCAGAGGATCCCCTGTCCCTGGCAGGGTCACCCCAGAAGCCACCTGTAACTTGCTTTGGGGGAGGAGGCAGAGATGGAGAGATGGGTAACTCCAAAACTCCTCTTGCCAAAGTGTCTGTGGCAGCTGGGCTGCTGATTCATCTTTGGGGTGAGAGCTGAGAGCTCCTTCATTAAGGGGCATGGTAAAAACAGATGATCTTTAAACTGTGTCCTAAGGACAGTGTATTCAGTGGACTCCCGGGCTTTCGAGGGACAGATTGATGAAGTGTCTTTAGTTTGCCTCTCCAGAGCCACTCTCCACCTTGTCTGGGGCCCTGGGAACTGACCTCTGTGGACTGTAGGGGGCTCCGTGCTGCTGGCTTCCAGAGAGGTTCACCCAACAGGAAGCACAGATAGGGGACTAAAGGAAAGAGAAAAGACAGTTGAGGTTTATCCCCTGTGAGGTCTCGTGGGTTGACTGGGTCCCTGTACTGATAGCCCACAGCCCCTGTCCCTATAGCTGCCCACTTCCCTTGCTCCTTCAGCCCTGAGTGGCAATTGCTCCCAGCCACTACTAGTCCCTCAGTGCTGCACTATCCTGTGTTGATTTGTCACACACCTAATGCCTGAGCCAGTTACTCTGGGTTGATGCACCCTCTCTGGCTGTGCCAAGGCAAGGAGACCAAGCACTGCCACCAATGGCCCCTTTTGTAGTCTTCCTCTGTCCAGCCCTCAGAGCCTCCTCTGCTCTTAAAGAAGAGCAGTTTGAAGGGAGGCCCATGATTACACGTGCAGGCCTCCTCTGTCCTCTGTCTCAGCCTGGGCCTGGTGGGGCAAGGGGAGCAGGTTGGGAGATAGGGAGCATGGACCAGCCAGTGAAGGAAGGGGCAGGAGGCAGGGGTCAGCTCCCCAGTGAGTGCATGCACCAACAGCTTTTGAGTGCTTAGTGTACGGTAGGCACTGCGCTCCACATACCAAGAATTTTATTTGCTTCTCAGGCAATCCCAGGAATTCCTTCCTACTAATGCATTTTACAGGAGAGACAACTCGTGCTCAAAGAAATAAAATGATTCTTCCAGGGTCATCCTGCCAGTAAGTGACAAAGCCAGGATCAACGTAAGTTTTCTGTCTTCTGTATGGTAGACATATTGGACAGAGATAACTGGACTTGAGCAAGTCCTGAGAATGAACTTGTATGGCAGATGCACCTGAATGCAGTCTGGTTCTAAGCTAAGAGATCTGGGAGTAGCCAACCCGGAGATCCATTCCTTATCTATGAGGAACATCTGAGCTCCCGGCCCATCCTATGGAACCTGCGGGCCAAACAGGATTGAGGCCTGTTGTTTTGGGGTAAATGCAGGTTGCTAGGTGGAAGTTGTTGGGGGAGGTGCTAAGTGAAAATGCTATAGAAATTGCATGCTTTTAGGCCAGTGGGGCTGTGACTCATGGCTGTAATCCCAGCACTTTGAGAGGCGGAGGTGGGCAGATCACCTGAAGTCAGGAGTTTGAGACCAGCCTGACCAACATAGTGAAACTCCATCTCTACTAAACATACAAAATCAGCTGAGTGTGGTGGCACATGTCTGCAATCCCAGCTACTCGAGAGGCTGAGGCAGGAGAATCTCTTGAACCTGGGAGGCAGAGGGGTGCAGTGAGTGAAGATCGTGCCATTGCACTCCAGCCTGGACAATAAGAGCGAAAACTCCATCTCAACAAAAACAAAAACAAAAACAAAAAAAACTGCACACTTCCTGCAAGTGGTTGTGGTTCTTCGGTCCAGTCAGCAGCCACTGGACTCTCTCCCCTGTGTGTGAGCCCCTAGTAAAACTCCATGTTTCATTCGCTGGCTCTGGGTCTCCTCTTTGGTCTCTTGAGCCTGGTGCCATCCTCACTGGCACTGATAGGGGTTTGGCACAACACCTAGTAACTGCCTTGAAATAATTTTAGTGAACTGGCTCACAATCACAGCAGAGTTGGATGACTTAAGTGCGGTCAGTTATTGGCGAGAATTTGCCCAGAGGCCTCTAATGTTCCCTGGACACCCCCTCCTAGGTTAAAAAAAAAAAATCCTCTGACATTCTGCAGTTCTCCCAGGTGGGACAGGGGCCCCAAGTGGGTGGTGCAGTTGGGTGTCCGGGTTGGAAAAACAAGCAGATTCAGACAAGGCTTCATTGTTAAGGAGAGTCTGACACTTTGACCATTAAAGCAAAACTGAGCAAAACAGAATGCTTACTGCCTTGTCTTATCTCTTAGAGACAAAGGGAACAGTGGGAAGGGCCCCAGGGCTGGGTGTTGATCCCACCCCAACCAGTACCAATCTCAGAGACCTGGCCTCAGGTGGCTGGGGCAGGGAGTTCAGGGTCTCGGTCCAGCCCGGTGTCAGGTTACGTTTGCCATGTGTGGCCTCGTCTGGCCTCTGTGGCACTTTCAGAGAGATTGTTATTGTCATTTTTCAGATGAGGAAACCAAGGCTCTGAGAAGACATGCAGGGAGCAGCTGGAACCCAGGTTAACAGGATTACCAAGTCTTTCCACTCCCCTCATCTCTCCAGGCAGGGAGGTCCTGCGGGGAGGAAGTAGCCTCAGAAGGATGAGCTCCTTGTCCTGGGGATGTGCAAGTATTGTCTTGGGACACTGTGGGAGGCAGGCTGCAGAGGGCAGCCAGGTGGCTCTCAAACTGAAATCACCAGGGGAGCTTCAACAACTACTGACGCCTGGGTCTTGCCCCAGAGATTGTGGGGCCTGCAGGACTTTCAAAAGTTTCCCAGATGATTCTAACGTGAAACAAAGTTTGAAAGGCATGGGCTTGGATGCCCACTGCTGCCCTTCCCACCTCTGAAACTCCCCTACCCCACACCTCTCTAAGGAAAGAAGGGATTTATTACCCTGACCCCATTTTACAAAACAGGCAGAAGCCACGCAAAATATAAGGGTATCCTCAAGGCCCCCCAGCCAGCAACAAATTGAGGCAGCATGAGGGGTCCCCTGATATCCAACTGCCCCTGGGGTGAGCTTCTTTAAGACACTTGGGGGGTCCTGGCTCCCTTGTCAGTGGGAGAGAAGTTTCTTTTTGAGGCTTCTGGGTGAGAGAGTGAGACACATTCTTCGTGGCATTTTTTTAAAGAGTCCACTCGTTCAAAAGCTAAACAGCTGCAGGATTAATGCTGGAAGACCCCCTCTGCTTGCTGGCGTGCCTTGGGAGCAGGAAGATAAAAGAACTCAAAGCAGGCCTGTTTATCCTTTTCTGTAGGAGATTTGGTCACAAGCCTGGGAAGAGCTGGGCCTGTCAGACCAGCAGCCCACACTTCCTCCCCACCTGCCTGTTCGCCTTCCTCATGCCCTGAAAGCAGAATGTCACAGATGGAGAGACGGTGTGGGGTGGTGGGAAGTGAGAGGCCTGTGGAGTCCACTGGTCCTGGGGTCTGCCCAAGCACTCCCCCTTGCCAGCTACCTTTGGAGAGGAGCTACTTCTGTCTCAGCTCGTTCAGTGCTGACCTCACAGAGGTCCAAAGTCAGCAACACGGGCACCACCTCCAGGAAGCCTTCCCTGACTCCCCTCCCCACCCAGCGCTGGGCAACCCCAGGCCCCTGGCCTTCCCTGTCACATTCTGTGTTGTCACTGCTTCTATGTCCTCCCATCCCTAGCAGGCTGTTCATTCATTCATTCCACAGAGCAGCTGCCCTTTGCCTGGGATTCACTCCAAACGCCTTTCCTGAGCACCTGTTTTCTCTAAGATCCTCTGTGAGGTGCTGGAGATACAGATCATAACAGTTAACCTGCACTGAGTGCTCATAATGCGCTGGGTATTTTTCTGAGTGCTTTACATGTATAATTCATTTCACCCTCACAACTCTATGATGAAGATGCTATAATTATCCCCACTTTACATATGGGGAAACTAAAACCCAAAGAGGTTAAATCACTTGCCCAAGTCATTTAGCCCTACCCTGTGCCACCAGCCACAGATACAGATGGGACCAGCCCCTGCCTCAGGAGCCCGCTTCTCACAATTTGGAAGTTTTGCATCTGTGTATTTCTTTGTCTAATGTTGTTTCCCCCACAGATCAGAATCTCCAACCGTGTTACATTTTGGTTGGATGCATGCGTGAGCAGCACCAAATAAATGCTGCTTCCCTTTAAGGAAGAACTCACACTCTCCGCCCAGCATGTGCTAGCTGGACACCAGACGGCTTCTCCCACCTGGGTCATTTCTTCTGCGTAGGCCTGAGAAGAAAACCCAAGTCCCCAGATATCCCAGTCCTGCCTCCTGCCCTGAACCTAGCTCGGGACCCTTCCAGGCCAACAGCACCTGCTTACACACCAGTGTTCACATGGAAGGTGATAGGAACTATGTCTCTGCAAACCCCAGCTAAATCCCCCTAAGAGAAGGCCTCCCTGCTACCTGGCATGCCCTCCCTCCTGCCATCTCTCACTGGACTCTTCCATCAATTTCTTACTGAGTTGCCAAAGCCATTGAGGGGATGGGCAAGAGGACTCATGCTGATGGAGTACCCACCTGTGTGCCAGGCCTGGACAGGCACCCCACTTCCTTCATCTCATTTAATAACAGTTATTATCAGCCCCAATTTACAGGGAAAAAACAGAGGTGCAAAAGTTGAGCAAGCTGTCCACAGGGCAGCTCGCACTGCCTCCCCTGGTCCGGAGGTTGTGGTTCTGTGCCAGGCACACTTCTAGGCACTCAGAGGGAGGGGAGGATGGGGGGGGCACATAGAATCTAGTTTTGACAAGCCAGCAAGGGAAGCAGACCAAGCAGAACCCCAATCCACAGACCACAGTCAGTGTGCAGATGGCCATGAATCAGCAGCAGAGGAGGCTGGGATCCCACCTGCATGGGAGGAGTCCTGGAAGCTTATAGGAGGCAGCATCTTTGGGCCTGGTTGAACTCCTTACTGCTCTTTCCCATGGTCACAGCAGGAGAAAGGGTAAGCCTTGGCCTACAAAGCTCTGGTGCCCAGTGTGGGTTTGCCACCACCCCAAAGGGGGCAAAGGGAGGAGAAGTTGGCTGCCCTGCCAGTGACCCCACTGTGGCCCGGCCAGCCTGCCTCCAGTCCCGCCAACCTGGCCTGGCCTGGCCCAGCCAGCTCCCAATCACAGGGTCTCCTCTGCCAGCTAATGACCATGCTGCCTGCAGCTCAGGCCACCACCCTCCTTTGGGCGAGGCAGCTACCCACAGAGCCTGCTGGCCCAGACAGGGGCCAGGCCAAAAATCACAGCTGCCTGTCATACCACATCCTCTGGCCCTGGTGCTGTAGTCTCCTCCTCCTCCTTCCAGGGTCACGAAAGACACTGTAGAAAGCTGGAGCTACAAGGGAGCTCAGACCCCACCCTGCTCCCCATAGACATGGACACACAGGACCCCAGAGAGGGGCCGACTCACGCCAGCCAGCCAGCCAGCCAGCCTGCGCACAGCCTAGGGCCCAGGTCCTTCCTGGGTGCCATGCTCAGTCCAACACTGCCCTTCCATAGCCTTGAGAAAAAGCCTTGTCCAGGCTTTTTACATACAAAGTATGCTTTCGAGGTACTTGGGTGGAGGCGAGGAGACAGTACGTCTTCTAAGCACAGATTTACAATTCAAACAGATGCAGCTTGGCTCCCTGCTCCCCACCTTCAAGCTGTGTGACCTTGGGAAAGATAAGGTACCTCTCTGAGCCCGTTTCTAGGGGATAACAGTAGCTACCTCGGGGAGTTTGGGTGAACAAGAGTGTCTATAAAGCATTTAGCACATTGTCTGGCTCATAGTAAGTACTCAAGAGTATCAGCTGTTGTTGATATCATCACTGTAGTATTGTGTGGATATATTTTACAAACTGCAAAATGTTATGGATGGTAGGTATTATTTTTTACTATTACTGTTGAACGTTAAAGATTCAGAGGGGGCATGACCAGAGGGTTGGGTAATCCAGGAATGTTTCTGAGGGAATTTATGACCTGAGTCAGGTCTTGACAGGTGGGGAGATAAGTGGAGAAGAGGCAGAGATGGCGGTTGTGATGGGAGGAACAAGCAAAGGGGCTGCGATGGGGCCACATGTGGTGTGTTTAGGAGACAGTGTAGAGCAATGAGCCAGAGGGCCAGGCAGAGGCTACGGCGACCAAGGACCTGAATGCCATAACTAGGGCCTGGTCTTCATCTTACAGGCTGTAAGGAGCCACAGAGGCTTCTAAATGGGGGCTCCATTAAGCTTTCTGAAATGTGAGTTCTGTCCAAATTCAAGGCCCTCTCCCATATGGGCATTCATCCCTCACTAACCCCACCAAGCCAGGCTCCTCGCCCCAAGTTCTCCCCATCTCTCGGCTTACCACACTATCCCACCTGCCCCGCCACTAGCCCACCCATGGTTCACACTCATGATGAGGCACCCCTTTGTTGAGTGCCTATAGTGCCATGTGTTTCACACATGGGACCTCAAGATCATCCATAACAGCCTTGAGAAGTGGACATCACGACCCTCATTTCACAGAAGAGGAAATGGAGGCCTGGTGGGATCGTGTGTCTTGCCCATGCTCTCAGTGAGATGGTGGCACAGCCAGGATTCATTCTTGGAGGGATGTCAGGATCCCCCATCTCTGCAGCAAGTTGCCTCCAGCTCCTGCCCAGACAGCCACCTCCCTGACAAAGCCTTTCTGGTTACCCCAGTCCTCAAGGGCCTCCCCTCCACCCCCTTTCTGCCCTGTACCCTCCCCCTTACTCCTCCCCTTCACCACCTCTCTGGAATCAGAGGCCCACTTGATCCTAGCTCAGCTAGCTTGGTTCCCAGTGTTGCCTATGGGACCATCTAGCCCCCAACAGGAGAGACAGGACATCATCAACCCCAGCTCTCTTCTGTTGGGGGCCAGATGATACTTTCTCCCTGTCCTATCCTGCCTGCCCCTCCATATCCAAGACTGCTAACAGCACAGACAGGAGCCCCCACCTCCTCTGGTAGGGTTCAGAAGCTTACTGAGCATAGAGCTATTTCCCTGAGTCTGCCCCCAGCTGAGGGGAGTAATACATTATTCACCGCACCTAGGTGCCTAGGGAGGTCAGACAATGGACCTGAGGGAATGGACACCAGCTCCAGGCAGCACAGCCCTGCCAGCAGGAAGCCAAGGGAGGAGGTAAGAATCCAGAGCCCCTTGCCAGTGTCCCCAAGCAGACTGATTCTAGAGGCTATGAGACTAGCAGCCTGAGCTGAGCAAATTCAGGTCTCTGAGCCTGCAACAATATCCTGCGTTCTAATCTAAAACAAGTCTGATAATTTCCCTAGACTTCCTGGTCAAACTTCAAGCTTTCTTTTCTTCATAGGGATAGAAACAGATATTTGGCCAGGCACTACATCTTTGTAGCTCATTTAATCCTCACAACAACCTGCTAAAGGAGGTATTCTAATTTTATAGGCTCAGAGGGATGAAGTGATTTGCTCAGTGCCACTCAGCTAGTGCGAGGCAGAGTAGACTCACGCCCACCTGGTCTGTCTGATTCACCACTATCTGGGGCTCACCAGTTACTGTGGCTCGAGGCTGCCGCTTAGCCCGTCTGGGTAACTTCCAGGGCACCTGGTATGCAGTTGGCACTTAAACAGTTCTACAAGCAAACTCAAAGGCCCTAGGGAAGTGGTTTTACCTATCTGAGCTTCAGTTTCCCACACAAGACTGGGCCGTTAATAACTACCCCAGTCTTGGCAAGTACGACATACCCCTTAGCACTTAACTGTCGGATGTGATGGCCCCACTAACTGAGCAGGTAACACACAGCCTGCCATAATCAATTTTAAGGTGGCACTTGGAACCATGGATGCATCAAGAGGTCTCAGGTGACTCCGCAACCCTCTTCTGCTTCACTCCAGGTTCCAGGCTCTCTCCACATCATGAAAGGAGATCACAGGTGTGAAATTATTTCCTCAAAGAGCTTTGTTTAGATGTAGAGATTATTGTGAGGGAGGATTTGAATCCCTGGATGGAGGTAGGGGGTAGAGGGAATCCCAAGCCCCTCAGTCACCTTTTCTTTTGGGTTCCTCTAACTCTTCCACCCCCAGGGATTGAGCTTCAGACTTCCACTGACCTCTCACCACCCTCCTCCACCTTCCAGGGGCTTTCCAAGGAGGTTTCCCCTTGACTCCAGGGAGTTGAGCACATCTAGGGTTAACAGTCCTAGCCAAGGCCACAGGGCCCAGACCAGGGCCAGATCCCCTCCCCTTCCCCACACAGAACAAGAGCCCACAGAGTCACGGCAAGGGCTCTTTCACAACGCCCCTCTCCCTACATGCCTCGGGGGCAGCAGAAGCATCCCCTGCCTGGGAATCAAGACACCTGGGACTGTGCCCCAGCCCTGGGAGCCCCCAGCCTTGAGACCTTGAGCAGGTCCCTTCCTTCCTGGGCAGAGGTGTCCTGCAGGTTTCCCTGCCCAGAAGAGAATTAGGTTGGACCTTCCATTTGGGCCAAAGGCTATGGGGTTGCGGGCACTCCTTGGGGCCCCTGCACCAACCACACTGATTCTCACCACAGCCTCATACATGGTTGCCCAGATCTCACATCAGGGATAGGGAAAGCCCCAGCCACCTATCCGGAAGATCCTAACTGGGGAGGAGTATGGATACTTTGAAGGATGCTCACGAAGGTTTTCTCAAGTCTACTTCTGGATCAAGGATTCACTGTCTTTAGGACCGGATAACTGACACTCCCTTCGGGTGGGCCTCAGTGGCCCCATTAGTAATGTGAGGGAGGTGAGCCACGTGAGCCACGTCTCCAGCCACCCCAGAGGGGTCACATCTCCAGCTCTGATGGACCCTTACTTGGGGATCTCTGCAGTGAATTCACCAACAGATAAGCACATCTCAGGATCTCCAGAGTGTCTTAGAGACCCTGGAGTCTGACACACAACGGCCAGGAGCTGCTGCTCTCACATCCTGGGCCCACAGGGAGAGAAGCTTTGGAACTAGGAAGCTTCTCACCTCTGCCCTCAACTCTGAGTCACCTTTCCTGGGGGGTGACAAGGCCAGGGAGCGGGAGGCAAGAAAAAAAAAGCCACTTCCTCAGCTTTAGGATCAGCGCTCAGGTGCTCTGCTTCTTCCCCTTCTATCCTCTCCCGCTTCCCCAGTCTCCTCCCCGCAGTGAAAGGAGACGATCACTCAGTCCCGTTAAGCCTCAGTTTCTCCATCTGCAAGCGCCGATAATAATACACAACACCTATTTCAGGAGTAGCAGTGAGCCTTAGGCGGGGCGTGGCGGGGCGCGGACCCGCACACAATGGGCGCTCAATAAGAGCCCGTTTTCTTTCTTTCCCCTCCCCTTCCCGCGCCCCCTCCCAGCCAGTTCCAGCCTCTGCTTGTTCCCCCCGAGACTCCCTCCGCTGGCCCCCGCGCTGCTGCGATGGGGTCGGGGACCGCTTCTGCCCCGCATCCGGGGCTCTCACCTGCAGCCTTGGCTCTCGCGGGCCGACGGGACAGAAGGAGACCCCTGTGTTATCTTCGGGGCAGGCACTGAGCCCCTCGCCTGAGGCGGGAGGCAGGTGGCAGCCTGGGTTCGTGGCACCAGCCCGGCCGTTCGGTCCGACTGTCCTGCCTGCCTAGGACCCCTCACGGAGCGCACGACCCGGCCGGAGCTTCCTGGGCACTCGCGCTGTTCCAAGTCCGAAGCACTCGGGTGGAGGCAACTGAAGGTTGGGGTCTCGTGGAGCCAGAGGCTGGGGGCGTCCGGGGTCCCGTGCACCGGAGTCGAGAGCCTGGGGCCACAATGCGCTAGCTCCGGAGTAGCGGCTCCGACCCTCACTGATGGAAAGGCGCGGAGCGACCCTGCAACCACGGACCCGTACTGCTGGGTTAGGAGCGTGCCGCCCCGGCGCAGCGGGTCAGGGCCGGGACTCCGCGCGTCCCGGCCGCACGCCCCGGACCGCGGGGCTGGGACGGGCAGGGCAGGGCAGGGCAGGGCAGTGCAGGCGCCGGCGGGGAGGTGCGGCGGCCGGAGCCCCGCGGGGAAGTCTTTCTAGGTCCCGACTCAGCTCGCTCTGTAAAACGGGGCGGACCTCGGCGCGGCAGCCGACTCCCGAGCTCCCGGCTGCGGCTCCACTTCCTCCTCTTCCCCCGCTCGCTCACCGCTCGCTCAACGCCGCGCCGCTGCCACCTCCGCTGTCATCCCCGCCGCCCACCCCCACCGGAGCCGCAGCCCGATCTCAGCCGAGGCAGCGCCGCCCAGCGCCGGAGCGCCAGCCAGCGCGGCCCCGCCCGGACGGGGCGGAGTCAGCAGGGACCCCGCCCCCGGCCGGCAGCGGGCAGGGGCGGGGCGCGCGTCGGCTCCCCTTCCCGGGCCCCGCGCATGGGGCCGCAGGAGCCAATCCGAGGGTGGGAGCGGAGCGGCGCCCTGCGGAACGCGGACTCTACCTCGGAGAGGGCGGGGCGGACAATGAAGAGGTGCGGCTACAAAAGGACAATGGCGGGGCTGGGAGTTCAGAAAGGCCCGAATCGGGGAGGGGGTTGGTCTCGGGACCCGGATGGAGGGAGAGGCGAGAGGGCTGGCTTGTTTGGGACAGGGGCATGGGGACTGCTGTGCGGGGATTGCGGGGGTCACGGGGAAGCAGCAGGGGCCAGGGTAGGAAAAGAAGCCGGGACGAGGCACGGTGGAGGCGTGGGGGGATATCCGGGGTCAGGGATCCCAGGGACGCTGGAGCGAACCCTCCTGGGTGGTGGGATGCCGCCGACAGCTTGCTCCTGCCTAGCTTCTAGTGCTCGGCACTCAGAGGTGAGAGTTGGTCTGGGAAGTATTCAGATTTCACGAAATGGTGAAAAACAAGTTTTTGGAAATAAGGAACGAATTTGTCTTCCACAAGCCTCCCTTCCCTGCGCCCATCCCCGAGGAGGAGAGCGTCGTGGTCAATTTTTAAAAATACGAACTCAAGAGGAGAGTTGTGTGAGGACACACACTTCGAATCGTGATGCATCTGCAGTCTGCTCCCGCCCCATCCCACCCTACACATCGGGTGCAAGAGCCGTCTTTCATTTTATGTTATGTTATGTTATGTTATGTTATGTTATGTTATGTTATGTTATGTTATGTTATGTTATTTTGAGACAGGGTCCCGCTCTGTGGCCCAGGGTGGAGTGCAGTGGCACTATCACGGCTCACTGCAGCCTCGAACTTCCGGGCTCAGGAGATCCTCCCACCCTGTGCCTCCGGAGTAGCTGTGACTACAGGCGTGCACCACCACATCCGGCTAATTTTTAAATTTTTTTGTAGAGACAGAGCCTCACAGTGTTTTCTAGGCTGGTATCGATCTCCTGTGTTCCAGCGATCCTCCTGCCTCGGACTCCCAAAGTGCTGAGATTACAGGTGTGAGCCTGGTGCTTGGCCACGGAGGGGTCTTCAGTGTGTCTGCACAGGGACAGGCGCAGAGAAGGCGTTGGAGGGAATTGAGGTATGAATGAAAGTTGAATGTGTGCCCCGGGGGAGTGGGGTAGGGGCCAACTGAAAGCAGCTAACTGCCCTGGGGAGCTAAGGGATGTTGGTGGCACAGGACTCACACCAACCTTATGTTGTGATAGGTACTCCATTTCACAGATGAGGACTCAGCACAGAGAGGCTAAGTGACGTTCCCAAGACCACACAGCTGGCACAGAGTTCTATCCACCCATCACTATCAAATTCTAGGGTAAAGCTCTGTGACTTTAACAGATTACTCTCCCTCTCTGAGCCTCTGTTTCCTCATCTATAAAAGAAGAATAAAGGTGCTACCTGGCAGGGAACCAGGTAAGGCACTGGGCAGGCAGCAGGCTTCAGTGGGTGAAGCATGGGCATTCCCTGCAAAAGAAATGGCATCAGACTATGGCTGAGAGACTGGTTGGAAGAACAAGGAAGAGGGTGAGCTGGAGGCTGAAGTTCAGGCTGTGGACTTGAGGGTGCCCTCTCTTCTCCAGGCCCAGGGATTGGGAGTAGGCAAGTTGGCTCCAGGAAGCTGGGACTGGTCTCTCCAGCCTGAGGGCTGGGAGAAGGCAGTTTTGCCTTTATCTGTTGAACTTGACGCTAAGAAACCTTGTGGCCCTTCCCTCTGTCCAGAGCCTTCTCTGGCTCCCGATTGCCAGCATGACCAAGCCCTACATCCCTAGCCTGGCATTCCAGCCCCTTTGTTATTGCTGTCTGCCTGCTGACCCCACCAACCTCATCTCCCCATTGCTTACTTCCCTCTCTGCTTGTGCCAACTTCTCTCAGCTCCATCAGCAAGCAGAATGCTTCTTGTCTCCATGCAGTTGTCTCCTCCATGTGTTGCCCTGCTGTTCCCCTTCTCTCTGGAGTTAATTCCCATTTCTCTGCTGGGCTGAAGGTGGCCAAATGCCCACCTGTTCTCTTCACTGCTGTATCCCTAGAGCCTAACACGGAGCCTGGCACATAGTAGGTGCCAAATAAATAATTGTTTGAATAAATGCCCCATCTCTCATGAGAGGTGGGACATGAGATGGGTCATTTATTCAACAATTATTTACTTGGCACCTACTCCAAGATTTATCACCACCTCCGAGAAGCCTTCCTGAACTCCCCCAGGCTGCCTGCCTTTGGTCTGGGCTCCCTCAGCTTGAAGGTTCTGTAATGATTGATCCATGTCTGGTTTCCCTCCCACCCACCACCACCCAGCCTGGTACATGGCCCGCCCGTGTGAGATCTCAGCGCTGGGAGATGAATGAGGCTCTCAGAGAGTTCTCTGGCTGCCCCTACTGCGAGAGCCTCCTCAGCCAGGTCAGATGAGCAGGATGTCAGAATGAAAAGGAGCTTTTCAGAATAGACCTCCGTGACCTCTGAGGCGCTGGGGGTGTGTGGGGGGAGACATGCCCAAGGTCATCAGGAGGTGACCAGCAAACAGGTCTCAGACACCCACATTTGCCGTCTGGCCACTCTTCCAAAGGGAAGGGAGTCTTGTGAGCTGGGGAATCTGGCTTTTTGGTGGCAAATGAGTTCCACGAAGCACGACAGAGGTGGTCATGGTGGCTGGTCTGGGCGGTGGTCGAGGGCAAGGCTGCACGGAAACATTAGTCTTTTCTGCCTGATGCCCTACTGTTTCCAAGAACCTTCTACCTTCCTTACACAGAGGCAGCAGCTTCAGCTTCAGGCCCCAGGGCTGTTAAACGCAGCTCCTCCCATTCTTATGGCAGACAGACATTCACTTTCACATCTACATTTATATTAGTAATTTTTCAGTTTTTCTTAGATAGGGCCACTGAATTGTATGAGGCTCCACACCCCTGGAGATCTGCTTCCAGCAAATCCTTACACTGCATCCATATATGCAGGTCCTGTGTGAGGCATTGGCAGGGACGCTCTGCCCTCCTGCAGCTCCCTGTCTGGTGGGGTGGTTGGGCTCTATTGAGCTCATTGAGCCCTTAAAATGCTTCGTGCCTTCCTATTCCTCTGTCTCCATCCCTGCCAGCCTGGAGTCCTTTCCCTGTCTCTCCTTCCTGCATGTATCCTGCTTGCCTAGTGGGGATTTTCTCCATCCTTCAAGGCCCTTCTCACAAGCTGATGCCTCTGAGAACCCTGCCCACTTCTCCCAGTTGCAAGCACAGCCTCTTCCTTTGGAGCCTGTGGCACTGAAGGCCCTTTGTGCCTCCTTGGAACTCTAATGCCTTTGGATCTGGGCTGCTGTTGATGGGTCAATTTTCCCACCAGATTATGAGCTTTTGGAGGGCAAGGGGTGGAGTCTGATTTCTCTCTGCCCCAGTCCCTCATTCACCAACGTTTCCTGAGTTGGACCAAGTCCTATACCAAACATTGGGTATCTAGGGGTGGGACCATCAGATGAGAACCTGCCCTCATCATCGAGGGGCCTCCAGTCCCAGAGCTGTCTGCATGGAAATGTGTACCAAGTACTTTGTGAACAGAGGAGGCTGCCTGATTCAGCTGGAGGAGGGCAAGCTGGGCCAAGGGCAGCTTCATAGGGAGGGTGATGCTTGGGTATCTAAGAAGCAGAACTTGTCAATATAAGGAGGGAAGCGTCTTCTAGGCAGAGGGAACACTGAGCGCAAAGGCATGAAAGTGGGAATGGGCAGGTGGGGGGTGAGAAGTGAGGTGCATTTAAGGCAACAGAAATGACAGAGAGAGGGAGAAGTGAGTTGCACAACAGAGCAGTTAGAGCACAGACTCGAGCTGCATGGCCTAGATTCAAATCCTGACACTACCAAGTACTAGCTCTGTTGTGACTCGGTGCCTCATTTTCCTTATCTGTAGAGTGAGGATAATCCCAGTACTTACCTTGTAGGATATTTATAAGGATTAAGTGAGTTAATTTTCATAAGAAACCTAGGGTAGTGCTGATGACACGCATAAGTTCCCATTGAGTGTCAGGTAAATAACGGGGAGCCAGAGAGGCCATGTTAGATGGGATTCGTGTTTGGAATTTATTGGGAGGATGCTGGAGTATTAGCAAGGAGAGAGTGTGAAGGGGAGTGGGAGGCTTGGCTTGGACCCAGCCTGCTCTACCCACTCATGCACATCCAGAGGGCATGCCTGGGACCCCACCTGCCTGCCCCTCCTCCTCTCTGGCCTTCCACTGCCCTCAGTGACCCTGTGGCCCCAACTGACTTCAACTGATGTATAACAGTGCTATAGGAGCTGGGGCCACACCTACCCCAGTACACCAGGGGGAAACTTTATGTTCCAGATTATTGCCAAAGGAGGTCAACTGGGGGTTCCAAGGGGATCCAGGACACCTGTGCAGGGTGAGCATCTGAGCTGTAGCCTGACTTAACGTGTGGTGGGTTTGGTAAGAGTGTGTATGTGGAATGGGGAATGGCGAGGGGCTGGAGGCACTTGTCTGGCCCGGAGAGCTGGTTGGATGTAGGGCACTGTGGGTTGTGACGCTGTGGGCTTGGAAGCCAGGTGCACATCCTGGCCCAGTCACCTTCCCTCTTTGTGCCTGAGATTCCTGTGGGTAAAAGGGAGATGAAAATAGTAACTCCTTCAGGCTGTTTAGCTCAGTTGGGAAAAAAAAAGAAAAATAAAATAGTGGCTCCTTCAAAGGTGGTGAGGATGAAAAGATCAAATGTTCAGTGAGGCCTGAGGTACAAGATGTATATCTGGGAGACCAAAATCAATTCTGTAGTACCAAGGCCGAAAGGTTAAGAGAGCCCGTGGCTGGAGAGCTAGGCGGGGGGCTGGGGGGGGAGGCGCGCCACACAAG